CAGCCTCTTCCAATCTCTTTGAGTTTGCTTGTGATGGGTTTAGAACAAACAACCTAGAACTCTGGTCCCCAGATATACACACTCACACACACACACACACACACACACACACACACACGCACGCTCGCTCGCGCGCGCGCACACACACACCATCATCATCATCACCACCGACTATTGTGATTTGGATCTGAGACATCGTTATAGGCTCCTGTTTTAAATGCTTGTCCCCCAGTGGGTAGTGTAATTTCAGGCAGTTTGGAAAACTGTACGGCACAGGGTCTGGCTGCCAGGAACAGGCCAATAGGGGAGGATTTCGATGGTTACAGCCACCCTAGTTTGCTCTCTGTCCTGCCTCCTGCCATACGAATAGCTCTGCCTCAGACCCCTAACCAGCTGTGTATTGAAACAACCAAGCCACCACGCTTCCCTCCTGTGATGAACTCAGAAACCACGAGCCAAAATAAGCCTTTTTGCTCTTAAGTAATTTTTGTCAGATATTTTGTCGTGGCAACAATAAAAACAGGACGTTCTTGCCGGTAAAAGTGGTGGTGGTGGTGTTGTGATAAGCCTAAACGTGTGTTCTGCACACCTTTGGGAACTGCTTACCAGAATATGGAAGACTTGGGAAATGCAGGCTGGGACAGCCGCAGAATGTTGGAAGCACAGTTCAACGGTGAATTCCGGAGGCATCTGGGTGACTAGTATTAATGTGTAGAACTGTGTCCATGAGGTGTCAGATCAAGACCCTATTATAAGTTGTATTAGAGGATATTCACATGATGTCCTGACACAGAATCTAACTATATTGTACCTGTGTCCTAAAAATTTAAATGAAGCTCAAAATAATAATCTTCAAAATGGTAGAGTAATAGAGTAAGTTTCAAGATAGAAGAGCTTTAGTCTGGCCACAGCTACTGCTGGCTGCTTTTTAGACATGCTTTTTTATTATTATTAATTCATTTTTTCCATTCCGATCCCAGTTCCCCCTCCCTCCTCCCACACCGCCACTTCCCTCCCTCCCATCTGCTCCTCAGAGAAGGTAAGGTCTCCCCTAGGAAGTCTACTAAGTCCCTCCCATCATCTCGTTGAGGCAGGAGCAATGCACCTCCCCACCCCCCAAGCCCCTGTGACTAGGCTGGACAAGGTATCTCTCCATATAGAATGGGCTCTAATAAGTCAGTTTGTGCATTAGAGTTAGATCTTGGACCCATTAGACATGCTTGTAATGAGACTCAAGAGGAAAAAGATGAGCAAAAGCATTTGAAAACAGGAGTAATCATGACTACAGAAAAGTAATTCTAACTGTCTAAAAAAATAATGACATTGGCAGTGGTGGCACATGCCTTTAATCCCAGCACTTGGGAGGCAGAGGCAGGCGGATCTCTGTGAGTTCAAGGCTACCCTGGTCTACAGAGTGAGTTCCAAGACAGCTAGGACTGTTTCAGAGAGAAACCCTGTCTCATAAAACAAACCAAAAAAATAATATAATTGAGAGGAGCAGTTCCCATCAAAAGCCTCAGGGTAGGGGCTGGAGAGATGGCTCAGTGGATTTAAAAAAAAAAAGCACTGGCTTCCCTTCCAGAGGTCCTGAATTCAATTCCCAGCACCCACAGGTAGTGCCTAAAGCATCTATAGTAGGATCTAATGCCCTCTTCTGGCATAATGTGGTGCATGCAGATAGAACACTAATATAAAAAAAAAGCCTCAGTATAAAAACGCAAATTCTGGAGGCAGAGGCAGGTGAATCTTTGAGTTCAAGGCCAGCCTGGTCTACAGAGCCAGTTTCAGGACTACACAAAGAAACCTTGTCTCAAAAAAAACGCAAATTCATTTGAAAGGAGAGAGAGAGAGAGAGAGAGAGAGAGAGAGAGAGAGAGAGAGAGAGAGAGAGAGAGAGAGAGAGAGAGAGAGAGAGAGTGTGTGTAAAGAGAGGGAGGGCCCGAGCAATGGTTTGAAGGCTTCAGTCACCACACACCCTAGAGGCTACGGCAGCTTTGATAACTAGCCACTCAGCTGTTCTTTGAGCTGGCAGAGAGATTTTGAAGCATCCATGCAGTTGCTGTTGGAAAGGGTCCTGGAGTCTCCAAAAGGAGGCTGTTGCTTCTCAAGGAGAAGTTATCTGGGACGCATGGAAACAGCCCACCTCAGGACCTTTCAGGTTGGGAACCCCCAGGAAAGGTGTGCTTGGGTAGCGTATAAGGATCTGAAGGAGCGATTCTGTTAAGCCAGCAGAGGAAACGTTCTACAGATAAACATCTCCCCCTCATCCTTGTGCGTAGGAGACAGCACGTCCAGCCCCGCCGGCCTGGGCTCACCCACCACTCACAGTGCTCTGATTACATTCGCTTCCGTTTTTAAGGGATTTTTCTATCCATGCCAATAAATGTCATTAACTTGTTTTCCTTGGTTTTAGACCGAGTGTGGGGACTACAAAGATGGCTCGGTGGTTAGGAGCACCTGATGCCCTCTAGCAGGCCACCCAGGTCCGGTTCACACACACACACACACACACACACCCCCCGTGAGTCTTAGCCTTTCCTGGGCGGCTCAGCTTGTCTGAGTGTCTTCCGGAAGCTCTCTTTTAGACGGTTCGGATGGTTTGAGAAGTCCATGAAGGGGTCATCAACAGACCTGGGCTCACAGCTGTCCTGGTCTCAAATTCTTACAGTGCCTCACACATCTGGCCTCCTGCCCACTCTCCAAAACCCTCTCGTTTCTCACAGGCACACTAAATACTTTCTCTGCTGTCCTGTGTGGAAAACCCTGAAGTTTGGAAGTAGAGGCCTAACTTCCTAAGGGCTCCACACCAAGTGAGGAGATTGAACACAGTACACTCCCCCACAGTTGGTGAGACTCTCCTACCCCGAGTCAATCCCAGCTTAAAATGCTCAGTGGAAATTTCCAGAAGTAAACCACCCACCAGGTTTAAATTGTACGCTCCTTTGGGTAATGTGATTAAAATCACCAGCGGGCTGGAGAGACGGCTCAGCAGATAGGGCACCTGCTACTCTTGCAGAGGACCTGGGTTCAGTTCCCAGCACCCACGTGGCGGCTCACAATCATCTGTGACTCCAGCTCCAGAAGCAATACCCTTTGGGCCTCCATGGATTCTGTACACAGTTGGTGTACAGACGCATACGTGTTGACGGAACACTCTCACTCATAAAAGTAAATCAAAAACCAAGAAACTGGAAAAACAGAAAGATCCTATTTGTACCAGCCTGCTCCGCTGCACCTGGGTCCATCCGATCTTCCTTCTGTCCACTGTGTCAACTCTCACACCCCAACCCCTTACACACCTGTGTAGACATCGGGGCTACCTGTCACAGCATCACAGTGCTTGTGACTAAGTAATCGCTGCTCAAAAGAGCAGATGTAGTGACGCGACTTTATAATCACAATACGCTGTCATAAGTGCTCAATTTTATTAGTGTGATTGTTGCTCTCCTGGAGTGGCTATTTTATAAATTAAGAGTTTTCACTTGGATGGGTAGGTAGGTGGGTGGATGGATGGACAGACGGATAGATGGGTGGGTGGATGGGCAGATAGATGGATAATTGGGTGGATGGATGGATGGATGGGTGGGTGGGTGGGTGGATGGATGGATGGATGGATGGATGGATGGATGGATGGATGGATGGATGGATGGGTTGAAAAGGTGGGTGGAAAACTATACACACAGGTTCCAGCCATGGTTTCAGTCTCCTGACAGATCTTAGATCATATCCTCTGTGGATGAGGGGAGATTGTTGAACTCAAATGCCGGCCCTTTCCATTTTGTGGCCCATTCTGTCGCCACTTCATCGGCAGAAAGCTTGAATTATTAAAATACCACGTCTCTAACTTGAAATCTGAATATGTTTATGAAGTTAAGCGGGTCAAGAGCCATCCACTATCAAGGTATAGAATTTGCCCCCACAGTGACACAGGCTCATAACAGAAGGGATACGGGGCTCAGTCTCCTCGGCCTCAATAACGGGGTGAGGACGGCCGTCCCCAGGGATGAGCTGCAGGTTCTTCAACCCCACCATAGACACCAGGGGCGGGAGGCAATGCAGTGCCTGAAATACAAGATTACACTCCATCCGTCGTCACAGGGTGGGAGTTGCCACAAGGTGGCACCTGCTCACACCTGGCCTCCACCACAAATGTCCCTCTGCTCTGGTGAGGACCCACAGTGGTTATTATTTCCCCAATCCCGGCAGTGGGTCGGTTCTGAAACCAATCATCCAACGCCTGCCAATTAATCAGGCCAGGTGTAGTCCCTTCACACTTAAATGCTAGGAAGCAGTCACTTCATAGCCTCAACATGCTGTCTGAAGAAGGCCCGTGCTGCAGGGTGGCGCCCAACCCTTACCCCTCAGCTTCTCTCTACTTCAAACTTAATGTGCACAGTCCCCAAGCAGGACCCCTGCTTTGCTGGTGACCAAACTGGCCATCTGCAACTTTAAGAAAGCAGAGGCTTGGGTTAAACCACCTCACCCCCCATTCCCCACTGATGGGAAAAAGCCAGGGACGAGGTTCCTATGGCAACTAAACTTAACTGTTAATCAACTTTATCAACTCATTCTATGCCCTCCCATGTATCAGGTGGACATCCTGCATTTTTGTTTTGTTTTGTTTTCTTTTTCAAGACAGAGTTTCTCTGTATTGTTTTGGAGGCTGTCCTGGAACTCACTCTGTAAACCAGGCTGGCCTCGAACTCAGAGATCCACCTGCCTCTGCCTCCCAAGTGCTGGGATTAAAGGCGTGCACCACCAACGCCCGGGTATCCTGCATTTTTTATGACATTGCATGTTTCAATTCTGCCATGCACATTCATCTAGGATTCATTATTTAAACTTGCTTCAATTTTTTTCAGCCGTTAGGATGGCATAGATACATAAAAAAGCATCCCGCCAGTTCTACAACTGATTTAGCTGCAACGTTAAAGTTCCGGACAGACTGAAGTACATGTTGGGGAGAAGGCCTTTCCCAGAAGGAGACCTGTACACAATAATGTTTGCATATTGCCTTTATTGTGCAGAAAAAAATTTCTGCAGATTGTCTTTGGCTACTTTGTCAACAGAAGTATCACACAGTTGACTTCACAACACAAAAGCTACATGTGCTTAAAGTAAACATCTTCTAGAGGGCAGAGCAATTTTCAGTCAGTCCAGTTACAATCCTCTCTGGCTACGATTTCTCTCTGTCCTCAAAGTTAACTATCTAAAGCAACAAGGAGGGGGCATTACACAAGTGTGCCTTGTCTCACTAACGTAGGACAGGGGATGAGAGAACTTCCCGTATTTCCAAGTCACCTACATGTCATAGAAGATGCAGAACGCCACAAGATATAGGATCCTGGCAAAGGATTCGGACTCCCAATCGCAGGAAATCGGACCGGAGCCTCATCTCAGTACCTGGGCTTCGCATGTAGGGCGCAGATCCCTACTGCAGGTGTCAAGCAAGAGGTCGCGGAGCTCGGACTGCTCCTCTTACTTGAAAATGGAGTTAGTAGTAGCAAGCTTTTTATCTTTCCCTTTGTCCCAAGAGCCTGCCATGGCGTGCCTCGCAGAAGGATCCAATCGACACGGGTTGCTGCAAGTCTTAGCACATGAAGAGGAGTTCAATTCACATGGATGGAGGTGACACGGGTGTCCACGAGGCAATGAGTAGGCTTTGGGCCGTGTCGAACTGGCTGTCAGAAATGTCTGTGACTGTGGCCGCCCCTTCATACATCGGGGAGCCAGAGGACGTGGCCGCTGAGACCGTGTGCGTCAGGGGTGCGTAATGTGCAGGGGAGCCTCGAAAGAGCTGGGCTCCCAGCCCATTGGACACCCCAGCTGTCTGGGAACCCGGGGCGATGGTACCATTGCTCACAGACCATAGGCTGGGGTACTGGCTGAAATGAAGAAAACAGATGTCAGGGGCCGGGAAGAGGCTCCAAAGAAATGAGCTACTACATGGGGACCAGATGTGGGGGGGGCGACTAGTACTCAGAACATCATTGTCAGTAATTGCATCATCACAGGGCTCTGCAGGAGGAGGGGTTTGTCCGCTATTACCGTGTGTACAAAAGCTACTGTGCTACAAAACAGAATCAATATGAAGCAAGCTAAAAGGAGGGTGTGCATAAGCTCAGGGGGACAGTAGGGGGCTGAGTTCTGCTAGGACAGAACCTGGGCAAGCAGCTCGGCGCTCACTACAGAATTTGCACTGAGTGCCTACACTTCATTGACTATTGTTCGGATCCCCACTGCAGCAATCCCTGAGCTCAAAGAAAGCACCCCTGAGAACAGCATCGCCACGGCCCCACCTCATCCAAGGGACAGCGTGCTAGCCATGTGAGCATGCAAGGGACCCCAAAACGGGGCTTGTGACCAGCTCTGCTCTCTACCACACCCATGACTGCACCCTAGAAACGAATTTCGTGGGACTGTATCAAATGACAGGTTAAGGTGGGTGCAATGACGCCTGCCCATAACCCGGAACGACTGAGGAGGCTGAGGCAGGAGGATCAAGTCCTGTGCAGTGAGTTCAAGGCCAGCCTGGGCCACATACTGGGACTCTATGTCCAAAAAACACTCGACAGCTAGATCCTAATTAGTAAAGCTCTATATCCCAAGCTAGAACAAAATTAAGACCTTAGGCAAACATTTCAATGTCCTAGACCAGTGGTTCTCAGGTCTGTGGGTCGTGACCCCTTTGGGACTTGCATATTAGATATCCTGCATATCATTATAGGAATTCATAATGGCAGCAAAATTATAGTTACGAAGTAGCAATGAAATTAGTTTATGGTTGGGGGTCACCACAACACGAGGAACTGCATTAACGCGTTGCAGCATTAGGAAAGTTGAGAACCACTGTTCTAGACCTCCAGCTCACTCCTTTGTGAGCTAACAGCTCGTCAACGCCACTGTCCCAGAATTAGTAACTGTGGGTGCCTCTCCTCCCTGGAGAATCACTGCTGGCATCTAGCTTTGCTATCCCTCTGCTATTACATCAGTGCTATGGAGGAGTAAAAAGCCTGAGGGAATGTATCCCGACTGCCTTGCAAGGTGTTTTTGAACCTTCCTATTTTAGAACTCGATAGCCAGACAGCCTCCATCCTTTACCTGTTTCCCAACATACTACTACTACTAAGGACTTTTTTAAAAAACTATTTATTTATGTATCTTTTTAGGTATCACTGCTCTGTCTGCATGTATCCCTGCAGGCCAGAAGAAGGCGCCAGATCTCATTACAGATGGTTGTAAGCCACCATGTGGGAATTGAACTCAGGACCCCTGAAAGAGTAGTCAGTGCTCTTAACCTCTGAGCCATCTCTCCAGCCCCAACTACTAAGGACTTTTACTCCTTTATCCACGGAAAAACTTATTGCCCTAACTGAATAAAGGTTCTGCAATGTTACTGCCTGGGAGAAACATTCGGAGGGCGGGGCCGTGCAGGGTCTTTTTACATATGGAGAAACTGAGGCTCTGCTCATCACAACCCGCGCTAAGTGCCAGGGTAAGGCTGAATCCTGGTTTGAGTAAGTACAGCAGACCACAAGAAAAAAAAATGCAGGCAACCAAAAGTACAGTCCTGGAACCAAGTGTCCCTGGTCCCGTCCAGTTTAGTTTGACTATAAACACAAATTCAGCCACCCTCAGGTGGGATTTGGAAGCAAAGAGAGGAAAAGACGGATAGAAATGGAACCAGCAGAAGCCACAGGAGGGCTTGCCTCACCCCTCCCAACACACACACACACACACACACACACACACACACACACTTACCTAGAGCCGGTAGGTGGGCTGGTGCCATGACTCATGGGCAGCATGCTGGTGTGGCCAGGCACTCCGAGGCTAGACCAGTTGTCATGGGACTGCAGCATGGATAAACATGCAGACGAATTGTCGGCATAGGCTGAGTGAGGTGGAGAGGGGAGTTACCTGACAGGTCTTCAAAAGGAATAAAATGCAACAAAAATGATACTAGCCGCTGTGCCAACCCAGCGCTGCCAACAAACGCTGCATGGGTATTAGATGCAGGGAGGAAGCCATTTGAGTAGCCAGGGGCAATATTTATTGTATTTTTTATCTGAATTATTTGAAAACATATCCAAGTTAACATAAGCTGTCTCTTATCATCCCACCAAGATGTCCTGCAGACACTGGTATTGCTTATCTTTTTATTCTTATGCTATATTTAAATATTATTTGGTGGCGATTCAGAGCCTTTCAAATGCTAGGCAAGTAAGTGCTGAGCCACTGAGCAACTTTGAGAATAAAAAAAACACTTGCCTCTTTAGCTCACCTTATCCATGGGGGTGGGGGTGTGTGAATAGGCTATGGAAACCATGGCCTCACCACATTAAAAATATGATCTCCCCACTTCAGAGGCTAGCCTCTGGTTGAGTAAGTCTCCAGGGTTGCCGCCTTTCATTTCAAATCAGCTGTGACTGCTTAATTGTTTTATGGTGTTCCCTAGCCATTTCCCCCTCCTTGTGGAGCAGACAAAGTTTGGTCTGAGCAGACAACAGGGTTAGAGGAGGTCTCTGGATGTCCTGGGGGCTGAAATCAGGGAAGTTAAGTGGTGTTGTCTAGAGGGACACCACACCCTCTGGTTTCTGAGTCTGGGTGGACCTGAGCTGGTTCTCAGGTGACACCGAAGGCCTGGGTTCTACATCTGGAGAGTCTTTGGTCTAGCCGAAAATGCTTGCGCACCTGGCTAATCCAATATGGTCACTTCAGAGAGGGTCGTGGAATGTCTGCCTAAACTAGAGCTCAGTGGAAAAGGCCCACGGATACTGAAGGCCTCCACAGGGACCTCTGGTAAAAGCACCATCCTGACCAAGTCTCTTCAGGAGGAGCCACTAGGAGCTGAGCTCCCTACCCTGCACCCCCTCCCAGGACCACCCCAGCCTCGGGTGAACCGGGGTGCAGAACCTACTTGGGGAGTTGTTCCGATGAGCATACGGGCTGGGGTACGGTGACGAGCGGTGGTTCCTCAGAGCCGGGTACCTCTCACAGCCGTGTGAGGAAGGGAGAGGCAATGAGCCTCCAAACTGAGGGTGGGAGCCGGAGGGTGGGCAGAGGGTGCTGGTGCCGGGAACAAGCCACCCCCCTGCTGTGAGAAAAGCGTGCTCAGTAAGGGCCCCTTGCCCAGGACAGTCTCTGGGAGTGGGCAATGCCCAGCGGCCCCGCTCCTCCCTGCAAATGAAGCTCAAAAGTACCAGCGTGCATGGAGGCCACACTTAAGCCTGGGATGCCTAAGCTCTCTGGAGAGCCCTGAGCGGAAGCTCCGTCTTAGAGAGGGTTACACCTGAGGCCTCCCCCAGCCCTTCTGGGATTCCTGCTCTGTTGGCAAGGAGTTTTCTATCACCTGAGCAAGAGTGACAGTGCTTGCTCAAAGGATGTAGCAGGAAGACAAGAGGAACACCGTGGGCCACAGGTTAGGACCCAGACTACTGGGGACTGCTCCCCCCTGGATTTCTGAGGCCAGCGGTCATACACCTGCCTCAGAAACAGCGGATCCATTTTCCTGTTTGGACTCCCCCAGGCCTCTCCACAATCTTTCCACTATGCCCCCCTCTCCAAAAATAGCTATATCCACTAAAACTATTTTTTCCTCATGCTTTTTATAAAGTTTTTTTTTTAACTGAGCAAAAGGAGCCCTCCAGGAGAAAATTTCCAAACAAGACAGTTCTTCAGGCAATACTTAAGAGATAGAGGAGCACTCACACATGCCCCCACTGTCCTGCATGGCCCCATTTCTCCCTGGGTCTGCTCGGAAGTGACTACCCGTGAGCCACAGTGGGGACCTGTTTGTTCAAATATTCAGTTGTCCAGTTTATAGATGATATTAAAGCAACAGTTTGGAATAGCCAGGCCGTAGTTAAGGACAGAGTGCTAGGCTCATTTTGGCAGCCGCTGAGGTGACCTGCACAGCGAGACCCTTCCACCCCTCAGCAGGGACACGTCCCTCAGTATTTTCAGGTTCCCTCCTCAGAAAGAAGGCAGAGGCCAGGCCGGGCATTGGTGGCGCACGCCTTTAATCCCAGCTGATCTCTGTGAGTTCGAGGCCAGCCTGGTCTACAGAGCGAGTTCCAGGACAGCCTCCAAAACAATACAGAGAAACCTTGTCTCGAAAAACCAAGAATAAAAGAAGGCAGAGGCCAGGCCTTTTCTCACCCTAGGTGTCTGCATAGATGAGCACCTACACCCCCACCCCCATTCTGGCTGACAGAACTCCTAAAGTGATTCTAAAAGAACTAGCCACCTAACGAGCCACCCAAAATCAGGGGCCGAGGGGACTGAGCAGCACAGTTGGTCATAAGACATCCAAGGCCATCTCCAAGGGGGTGGGGGTCAGCTGAGTTCCCATCAGACCCAAGTCTGAACTCCCAGGAATCCACTCCACCCCCAGCCAGTGCAGAACAAAACACACAAACCTAGTTTTTTTGGCCTGCCAGTATCCAAAGCCCAGGATTGGTCAGGCAGCCTTCCGAAGCCAAGGGCCCGTGCCTGGGGCACAAAGTGGGACCGTCCTGCTGCCCCCTCACTGTTCCCAGAAACCCCTCAGCTTCCCTCTGGGTTCTGGTTTTAGTGGATCTTAGAACAACAAGCCAGCAGGACACAGGACAGAGAGGATGGGGAGGTGCGACAAACCGTACATTGGGAGTAGCCTGGCTGCTGGCAGTCCCCGGGTTCCTCCATCACATCTTTGTGGTCGTTTCTGGGGTAAAATAAATCAGAGTGGTCAAAAGGGAGCACCGCCCGGAGACAGGGCCTGGTTTTCTTCCTACTCGGTCCTTTGTCCCAGGAGTGGGGTTAGAATCCTCTCTCACCTTTCTTTGGCATCAAGGAAGGCTTTTGCAAACGGATTGTACTTAATTTTAAGGGCTGTGATCTGAAAAACAAGAAGGTAGTGTTGGCTACCAGAGAATTTAATGGGGGGGGGGGGATGAGAAGTGTCCATAGGCCTGTAAGAATGCTGAGGCAGGAGGACTGCTGTGAATATAGGGATAGCCAGGGCTACCTAGCAAGACCCCGGCCCAAACTGAGGGGGGGAGGACGGAGAAACACTACCAAAGGAAAAAACAAACTTAGAAAGAATAGGAACAAGTTGAAATATTCGGGGTCTGAAATGCAAGGAAATCAGTTTCTGAGTGAGACTCCGGATCATGTCTATAAATCAACAGTTCAGGCATAGCCTGGGGCTACCATGGAGGTCTAAGGGTCAACAGCAGCACTTTTAAGGCCCCTTGACAGGTTTTCCAGGAGGGCCACACTGCTGAGACCATGGACTGTCACCTACCCTTTTTCAAGCATGTGGTAGATGTTTATTGCTCTAGATCATCTTTGGAGACTACCACAGAAGTGGTAAATCTGCACCAAACTCAGCCTGCATTCATCACCGTGACTTTACTTCCCGGTGCGTGGAGGGCACAGCGAGGGGACCCTCGACCGTCCCAGGTCTCACCTCCTCGTTCTGGTAGGCAGTCACAGCTATGAACTGGGTCTCGGGAAAGCAGTGGCTGGTGATCATGCGGTGTGGGCCCCCCACCCTCACGATGTGAATCCGAGGCTCGTACTTGTGCAAGGAGTTCAACATGATCTGCGGGAGACGAGGAGCAAGAATGGAGACCCGCGCCTACCCCCATCCCACAGCATCCACAGGACCCGCTCGGGAGAGGCGGATAGGTCTACAAAAATGGCTGGTCTGGAACTAGGGCGTGAGGTGCTATGCACTACTACATAAACCCTGTCAGAATGAGGCCACCGACAATGTCCAATGCCTGGCTTGATGGCAACTTGAGTGAGTTTCTAGGAACAGGCTCCAATGAACCACAGTGTTCCCTTTTGACTTTAATGTGACTGAGGATCAAAGCCCTAATGGGGCCTTGAGCAGTTTTCCCAAGAGGCAGGCCAGCCAGCCAGTCCCAGGGCGGGCCTTCCAGGGCAAGTGAGGACTCCCAGCTTCCTTCACCAGGCCTCAGTGTGAACCTTATCAGCTTAATATAAACAGTACTAAAGATTTAATTGGGGAAGCCTGTGGCGGCTTCTGTGAGGCTGGCAGAAGCTGAGGGAGCTGCAGCCCTCCACCTTCAGGACTGGGGCCCAGCGGCTGTCTCCCGTACATGCTACCTGGCCTCCTCCGTTAAGCTTGTTGGTGAGTTTGACTTTGCTGAAAGACACTGGCGCCTTCATCCAGTGGGCCCCGAAGTTGGGCGAGTCTGGGTGGATGTAGACGCAGCTGGGCGCCTGAGGCTCTGGCTTGCCCCCAGGGACCCACTCCCCGTTCACGTATTTCCAGCGGTGATTGTCAGCCGCGACGAAGTCCAGCAAGAAGGAGTACATGGCATTGGGGTCCAGACCCGACACGTTCACCTTCAGCACCGGGAACATCCTCCTGGAAAAGACAGGGCACAGCAGGAGGACCCCGAAACTGACCCATCCGGTTGGAGAGAGGAAACTTGGCACCAAGTGTTCCTCACCAGTTAAAGAAGAGCCCCTGCAATCGTTCCCACAAGCTTCCTTGCCCCAGCTTCCTCAGCCCTGGGACCAAATCCTTCTCCCCACTAAGCCCACGGCGCTCTTGGGACAGCAAAGGGACAAATCTGGCCAAGGCTTTCATAGACACAGGCAAGTCTGGCCACACCACCTAGAAAACCTAGACTTCAAATATCTCCTCCCCAGGTGAAAGTTCAGAGAACCTTGGGATAGGAATCTCCTGGGGGCAGTTAACGCCGCAGGAAGGGACAGAAGGCTGGCCTGAAGCAGAGCAAGAGGCGTTCTCCAGGCCCCAGACTGCAGACGTGCAGCACGCACCTACCTGCCGTTCTTGGTCACGATCATCTCGTTAGTGAGCTCCTTGAAGCGCAGCCACAGCTCACTCTCCTCCAAGCCCACTCGCAGCTCGCGCTCCGTGGGGTCGCCCTTCTCGCTGCCCGCCTGCAGCTCGCTCTCCACGGCGCTGAGCAGGTGATCCACTCGGTACTGCAGGCTCTTCCCCGCATTCTCCGTGTCCGGCGAGCTCATCCTCCAGCCGCCCTCTCCACTGCCCCGGGGTCCTGACCGCCTACCCAAGAGTCGCCTTCACTTCTCTCACCGGCGCTTTTCCAAGAAAAAAAGGGTCACTCGGGAAGCCCAAAGAGCACACCTGGGGTCCCAGCACATTCGCCCAAGGAGGGCCAGGACCGGGATGTGGGGGGGAGGGGGCGGGGAGAGGGAAAAGGGGCTGGGGAGCCGCCGTGGTTCCACTTGAACTCCCGCAAGGCGCGACAAGAGTAAGTCTCTGGGGGAGAGAAAATGGGTCCCCTCCCCATAAATACAGCCGAAGTGGCCTCGCAGGGGGCGCGGCGGATTGGGCGGGACACCCTTTGAAGTGCCGAGCCGCTGCCCATTGGCGGTGCGCGGCCATATCAGACCGGCCGGGCGGGCCCGGAGGCCGGGGGCCAACAATGGGCTCCCGCGCGCGCTTCCTGTAAGGAAAGCGTCGGGCGCAGTCCCGACACCCCCGCCCTCTCCCAAATGTTTGCACCTCCATCAAAGCTGCGGGGCGGACCCTGGGGGGGGGGGGGTGCAGGGAACAGGGCCGAAGCCACCCAGGCCAGAGGCTCCCAGAGCAACTGCTAAGCTCTCCACTCCGAGCTCTCCAAGTGCAGCCCAGCGCCTGCGACAGTGCCCCGCGGAGTGTCCACGCTGCGCGCACCTGCGCGGGACGACGGTGGATCTGCATCTCCCCGCTCTCCCTGACCTCTCCGAAGCCTCAGCCCCACCCCAGAGGTGCAGCAGCTTCGGGACACGTCCCCTCGCCCCGTGGACTGTCACTAACTCCCACCTCGGCGTCCGGGTTCCCCACGACCTTCACCTGCGTGGAGAGGGAAGCCCAGTGTGGATCTGTCCAGATAGGGACCCTAGTAGGAGGTGTCCTCGCGTCCCCCATAAACGCTGGACTTTGGCGGCGGAGGTTGCGCCTGCACCGAGTGTAGCCCCGGGAGTCCTGGGCCTCTTTGCCCCGGGGATTGGAGGAACGCACGCTGGGCGCGTTTCCCCACCCGCCTCCGCACCAAGCGGTGTAGGCAGCAGTTGGTTTATTACCTCTCGGTGAGAACCTCTGCCGGAGAGCGAGGGGAAGGTGACAAAGAGCAGGAAATAGTTCAATGGGGTCTCTTTAAACAATAACATGCCTCTAAAACGGGAGCCCAGGAAGCGGGAAGGAAGCCAGAGATCGCGCCCAGCTCTTTAACGAGGGTCTGGGTTCCAAGCCTCCGTCTCCCCGTCTTCCACAAGCGCACCCCACCCGGAAGCTCCTTGGAAGAGGCCCCTACGTCAGGTGGGGCACCCACTTCTGAAAGTCCTGCGCCTCTCTGAGTCTCCCTGGGAAGTCTTTTGGGGTCAGGGCTGTGGGGTAAGCCAGAAGCCGGCTCCAGCTTCTACCTGCCTCTTACTTCTGGGAGAGGGCTTTCCGGGGGCAGGCGGGGTGAAGGCACTCCCGGAGTGATGTGGGAACGCGTCCTGGACTACTTTCCTCAGCCTTCCCAACTAACTACCCGGAGCTGCGAGGCTATCCCGCTTTCTTGCTCTGTTGTAGTCTAGGATGTAAAATTTCGGGCTGAGCCAAGGGAAACGGTTCCTTCTGCAGAGACAGCAAAAGGCCCCCATTTGCGCCCAACCCCGACCCTCCCGCTACCAGCCAGCTTGTGTTGTGGGTTTGCTGAAGTCTGCGGGAGGGATGCCACCTTCAAGGGCAGAAGACCCTAAGGGCCGACACTCCCTGAGTTCGGGCACTTGGAATGAAGGGTCTAGGTGGAGGAGACGTGAAGACGGGGGGGGGAAGTGGGGGGCTCCGAAAGTGACATGAAGGCGGAGCCCGCCCTGGGAATGTGGTAGCTCACGGATGGATTTTTCTCCACCGTCCACGAAGCTCGAGGAAGATCGCTTGGGATCGGTTCTCCAAACGCCAGGAGGCAAATAAATAATGTTACTTTTTCTGCGGTGAGCAGTGAAATCTCCACACTCCCGGGCTAGAAGCACCTCTTTCAAGGCTTAGCTATTCCACCCCTACCCTCCTCTAATCTTTGTCCCCAAACCTCGTCCACAGCCTTTTCAAGGAACGCTACTGGTGCATGGCAGTTTACAGCCAAAAACTTCCTCCAGGCCAGCTGTAAAGCATTCCCAGTTAATAACCTGCGCTTCCGTGGGAGAGGCGTGGCGCTCTTCGACTTCTCTCTCAGGTTGACCGTCCTTGGGAAGCCTCAAACTTCCCTGAAAAAAAGGCAGAGAAACGTCATGCCTGGGCCTCTTCTCCAGCAACCTTCCCTCGAAGAACAAAGGAAAAGGCCCGGGAACTATAAATGTATGCCCACCGCAGTTCCCAGAGGGGCATTTGCCCTGGTCTCACCCTTCTAGAACAGACAACAAAGCCTCCTGTCCTTTGGAGCTGGAACGGAAGAAAGGAGACATCCTGGGCCCTGGCCTCACCTCTAGGGTCTTTCTTGAAAGGGGCAGGAGGGCATTTCTTTTTGTGGCGCTGGGAATAATGCATACCCATGTTGCAGAACACCAGAAACATGAGCCCTAATCACTGTTCAGATTCAGTGTTCCAAGCTAGCCCATCTCCCCTCCCTGTTCCTCCAAGCAGACACGGCACCCCGAAATCCTAGGTTAGCAAATGCTGTCACTAAACGGCGGATGCTGTTAAGATAACACAGTTCTTTAGCCCCCTTAACACTGAACTTTTTTATTAAAGGACATTGGATGGTTTGCTGCTGGCAAGAATAAAGACAGGATTTCAAAGTAGGCCGACAGGACTCATCTGTCACTGGTCACTGGGATGTGGAAAGAAAGTCACCCCACTGTAGAAGTCCCAAACTACAAGCAGAAGGGAGGTTCTGCCCTGTGTCGAGCTGGGCCAGGGCTAGCTGAAGGAAGTGTCTTCAAGTCAAATCCCATCCCAGATGTGTCCTCATGAGCCAGTGCTCTGATCGTTTTGGGGGCAGGAGTTGACACATTAAAAACAAATGAGGCAGCCAGCATTTCTCCCTAACCTCTCTGATCTTTGAATCCAAGGCTAAAGAGGGGGATTCTATGCTCATTGGCTTGGTGCCTTCTAGGACAGGTAGCTTGAATCTCTTCAACCTCCTAACCTAAGCTTTCCTCCTTAGCTTTCCACGCCCAGTGGGGTCCGGGTTTCTTCAAGAGTAAATCGAGGAAGCTCTTGAGTCTCATTCCAGTGAGGGTCTTGGTGCAAACATCAGGGGTCATCAGTGCCTGGGAATGACTGCCCCTGCCTGTTTGTTTCTCCGGCTTCTCCCCTGGAGCTGTTTCATCTCAGGTCCTTCGGCATGTATTGAATGGAGTGTGAAGTGTTCCCGCCACACCACCCTGTCAATTTGTCTCTATGTCACTCTTTGGGGTTTTACTGCCTCCCATGCAGATTTTATTTCTTTGCTGTCCCTTTGAGTTTCTGGCAGTCCTGGTTCCCTCTGAACCTGTCAAGCTATTTATTCCACGGTCTTCTATGGCAGCCTTTTGCTCCCTCAGGCTGTTTGTGACTCGGTAGAGGCCACCGGTAGAGGCCACCGGGGAACCCGTATACTCAGGCCTGACAGCTGTTTTTAGGTGACCACCGTGGGTTATTTCTTTTTTAGCCCTGGGCTAGTCTCCTGCCTTCTCCATCAGCCCTTTTGAGTCCCTATTTCTCCTTCCTTACTCCGCTTGATCTGGGCTAAATCTGAAATAAATGCATCTTTGCCCAGATGGCCCCCATTCAGATGAGGTACCTCACCTCTAATCCTCTTGAGCTCGGGATGGCCATGGAACGCAGATGCCCCTGTGCCCAAAGATGTCACTGTGTCCAGGAGAAACAACAGTCCCCGCACTGAAACCCACCCACAAGGGCTGTTTTTAACTGCAGCCAACACGGGCCTGACAGCCCTGCTTACGTCCTAAAGACAGCTACCACCGAATTCAGAGCAGCCTTCCTATCTCCTGGTTCCCAGTTTCACAGAGGACAGCAAACTGAGACGGAGCGTAATTTGAATGACAGTGAAAACTCCACAGCCACGGGGGGGGGTCACGGGACACTGTAGAGGGGAGGTCAGAGGGTCAGAGATGCAGGTATAACGGTCTGAGCTGACAGAGAACGGGAAAACGAACGGGCCAAGTCCAGGGGAGGACTCTGAGAGGTGCGGTGCCCACCAGACTTCTTATATGGGGGGAGGTTTGGTGGCCTCCAGAGTCCCCGCAAGGAGGAGTCTGCAGCCCCACAAAAATCCAAGAAGGGAAGAGCACTGATTTAGAGGCTATTTATAGGAATTGCCAGGGGTGTTAGAGACAAAAACTTTAACAGGAGAATGACAGAACTGTGAGAATGTCCCAGAAGGGTGAGCAGCAGGGGAGAAACTGGGGGGGGGGGAGCAGAAACCTGCTGGCAGCTTCCAGGAGGAATGGGTGTGAGGGAGAAGGCTGCGCCCACCTGCTGACAGCCAGCCAACAGGAAAGGACCCGGAAGGAGGGAAGGTAGTGAATGCCCTGGGGGGGGATTCAGAAAGGAGAGGAGTTGAGATAAATCTCCCCACACATCAAGGGCAAGACTGATAAAAACTGGGGAGGCTCTTAACACACCTCTGAGAAGAGGCTGCATCAGTAGCTCCCATCAACAGACCCCAGCAAGCGGAAGAGCCCAGAAAGGAAAGCCCCATCGGGAGTCAGAATTAACACATTCAATGACCCACACTCAGGCTCCCAGACCACACCCCTACCTCCGAATGCACGGAAGCCTATTGTGTGTGTGTGGGGGGTGCGCACACGTCATGTACACAAACAACACCCCCACCCCCACACCCCCACCCCCCGTAAGGGGGCCACGAAAAAAAATGGACCATGAGAGGAGGTTTTGGCCACCAGCCCAGGGGTGGCATCACCCACCCACATCAGTCACCATCAGTCACTAATCAAGAGAATGCACTGTAGTTTGCCCACAGGCCAGTCTTAAGGAGGCATTCTCTCAGTTGAGGATCCCGCCTCTTAGACGACCCTTGTGTCAAGTTGACGAAGAAAAAAACTAATAGTTCATAGACCAGATGAGGACCTCTGTGTGTCTGGGGGGGGCACACCTGTGTGTGTCTGTGTGTGTGTGCACATGTGTATCTGTCTGTGTGTGTCTCTGTGTATGTGTGTGCAGGTACCTATAGAAGCCAGGGGCATCAGATTTCCCTAGAGCTGGAGTTACAGATTTGAGCTGTCTGACATGGATATTAGGAGCTGAACTCAGGCCCTCTAGAAAAGCTATGTGTGCACACATACGTGTTCAGAGGATGACTGATAGGAGCTACCATGGGACTCCAGGTATCAAATCCAGGTCATCAGACTTGGCCATCAAGAGCCTTTATCCACTAAGCTAGCCTGCCCCCACACTCACAAACACACAAGCAAAGTAGACATGATGGCCTCAAACCTCATTTTAAAAAAAAAGAATTATTTTATATGCATGAGGCTTTCCCTGAATATCTGTCTGGTGCCTGTGGAGGCCAGGAAAAGTCCACAGATCCCCCTGGAACTGGAAATACAGACAGCTGTGAGCTGCTCTGAAGGTCTGGGCATCCAACACCCATCCTCTGGAAGAATAGCCATAGGACAATCTCTCCAGTCCCCCAAGATTTTTTTTAATCATTTTTTTTTTTTGCAAAAGGTGATAACGTCACACATTTTCACCCTTGTGTGGGTCAAGCTTCCAGTATGGTGTGTTGCACAGGGGTGGAAATGATGTAACCCTTGAGTTGTTGTCACCTCAGAAGACAAGACTGTTGCCTCACTGCTCCACGCACCGCACCGTTGTTTCTATAGGTATGTTTAAACGGTCAAGGAGTCCCCCCTCCTCTTCATAATTTGCTTTTGTTTCTATTAGTTTCTACTCTGTTACTGAGGTGAACAGAGTGTTACTAGGTTGGATTTGTCACCCTGTTTTGGTTGGATTTGTCACCGTGTTTTTACGAGTGTTGTCCCTGTGTCTCCAGTGACAACGACCCCGGCTCTGGCTTTGCTATAGAGGACCTGCCACTTTCACAGGAGGAGCTAGGACAGCTCCTTTGGCCCTTTTTTCTAGAGAATTTACATTTTTCCCTTCTACCCTGTTTCCTCCTTACATGCCCGCAGAACTCCTCAGTGGAACCGATGTGCCTAACCCCTTCTTACTTTCTTTGAGGGGGTTATAAGTGGTGGACTTGGCTTAGTTAATTGCGATAGGATTACTTAGGGTTTCTACTTATTTTTGTTGTTTTGTTTTTTCCGTGTAGCCCTCAATGTCCTGGAACTCCCTCTGTAAACCAGGCTGGCATTGATCTCAGAGGTCCGCATGCCTCTGCCTCCCAAGTGCTGGGATTAAAGGTGTGTGTCCTACACCTGGCTGAACTTTTTTTTTTTAACTAGTCTTTTTAAAATCTTCATTTCATCTTTTTATGTGTATGGGTGTTTTGCCTGCATGTGTGTCTGTGCTCCGTGTACCTACAGTGCCCGTAGAAGCCAGAAGTGGAGTCACAGACCGCTGTGAACCACCGTGTGCGTTCTGGGAATTGAGCCCAGGTCCTCTGCTAGAGCACTCTTAAGCGGTAAGCCATCTCTTCACACACACACACACACACACACACACACACACACACACACACACACACACGCACGCACACACACGCACGCACACACGCACGCACACTGTTACTGTTATTTTTTAAATATTGATTTGTTTGTTTTATGTATATGAGTGCTTTATTTTCATCCATACCAGAAGAGGGCACCAGATCTCATTACAGAAGGTTGTGAGCCACCATGTGGTTGCTGGGAATTGAACTCTGAAAAGAAGGGCCTGTCAATGCTCTTATGCTCTTAACCTCTGAGCCAGCTCTCCAGCCCTTATTTTTGTTATTGAAAGGTGCTGGGGATTGAACCCAGGAACCCGAGCTTGCCAGTCAAGCTCTCTCCCACGGAACCGCACCCACAGCTGGTACCATTTTTTTTAACTACTTGCGATTCTTTGAGTTGATATTTTCCATGCATCTCTAGAATTACCTTTCTCTCGGGTACCACACCCTCCACAGCCTCTCCCTCATTGCTGCTGGACCTGGGATTAAACTCCACTGGCCTATATAAGGCCAGTTAGCTGTTCTTTTTTTCTGTCAGTGTCTGGTTCTTTTTTCTTTCTTTTTTTTTAAAACAGAAATACTTCTTGGCGCACAACTTTAATCCCAGCACTCGGGAGGCAGAGGCAGGCGGATCTTTGTGAGTTCGAGGCCAGCCTGGTCTACAGAGTGAGTTCCAGGACAACCTCCAAAGCCACAGAGAAACCCTGTCTCGAAAAACCAAACAAAAAACAAAAAAACAAAAAAAAACAGAAATACTTCTATTTTTTTGTCTTTTTTAAATAATTAATTTAAGCTCTGTTTTATGTGCATTGGTGTGAAGGCATCAGATCCCTGGGAACTGGAGTTTCAGGCAGTTGTGAGCTGCCATGTGGGTGCTGGGAATTGAACCCAGGTCCTCTGGAAGAGCAGCTAATGTCCTTAACTGCTGAGCCACCTCTCCAGCCCCGCCTTTCTGGTTCCTGCGTGCTGTCTTCAGGTATGCCAAATCCAACCACTTGTTGGGTGCTGCGTCCATTGGTTATATTTCCCTGCCTTATAAAGCCAACGTCACTGCACCAAACACCCTTGATCCATTCTCCTGCTTCCTAATGCTCGCTCGTAACGTGAAAGCTTAAAAAAAAACTTATTATTTTAAGGAAAAGAAAAGACAGGCGTGTAGTCCTCAAGGCACCGCAGAGAGAGCAGCAGGACCTGAGCCAGCACAACTGGAGAGCGCTCAGCCACGCTCACCCATGACTGTTGCTCTGCCTGTGCTTAACCTCATCTCCAGCATCTGAATTCACAGTTCTGGGCTTCTGCGTGATGGCGACGCCTTTATAAGGAGAGAATGACAGAACTGCCAGGCCAGGTGTCTCTCCCAGCAGGTGAGTACGCCTTCACTGGATGGCGACCTCACTGCTTGTCATCGTGTTGAGCCGGAGGAAAAGAAACCTGTCTAGTAACCACATAAAATCTCATTCTTCATCCACATAGTTCACCCAGTATCGACGCGCTGTCTTAGCCTCCTATGGCGAACAAAAGACAAAAGGTAACATACGTCTGCATGACCCCTTTCATTGCTCATAAAGCGGATAAACTGAGGGCTGCACTGTGCCCTAACTTTCTTAACCCGTAGTTACTTGCTCCGACTCAACCCGGGAATTAGAAAGCTACTCATCCCTCCCCGGTGCCTACCGTCGTGACCCTGACATCTCCCATACTTCATCTGTGGGCTGCAGACCCTTCCAGTCTCCAGCCCGGAAATCCTCAGAAATCTCACACTTGCTGACATCCTGCTCTGCCCCAGCTCCCAGCCCTCCACCAGCTCCTGCTCCAGTCTCTCCTTTGATCTCCACCAGGCACAGGCAGATAGAAAACGGAAACCTACCACCACAGGATGGGTCTGGATCACGTGGTCCAGGGTCAGGGGTGCTGTGGGCCTGGGGTCTGCGGTCAGACCCTCAGGAACCAGCTTGCCCCTCACCTGCTCTGACAGCTTGCTCCTCGTCTCTCGTGGACAGCATTCAGACTGTTTCTGTGCATAAACTCCAGTGGTGTTAACACCAGGGCAGGCTTTTTTTTCTGCAAATACAAGGGTTTGGGTTTTTTCTCCCCCCTCCCCCCCACTTCATTCATCTCCATGACATTAACTTCTTTTGGATCACACTTTCTGACTGTAAACAATTTCTTCATTCTCTTATAAACTCTGTTGATTTTCTTTTTTTTTTTTTTAGTAGACACTAACCACATTCTATAATGAAACACTATGCTAAGTATTTTAGGAAAGCTTTTGCCCTCCAGAAACACATAGGACTTTCTGAATGTAATTTAAATTTGTTTTGTTTTGTTTTGTTTTTTGAGACAGGGTTTCTCTGTGTTGTTTATTACTTGTTTGTTTTTAGGTGTGAGTGATCTGTCTGCATGTGTGCCTGCACGCCAGAAGAGGGCATCAGATCCCGTTATAGATGGTTGTCAGCCATCATGTGGTTGCTGGGAACTGAACTCAGGACCTCTGGAAGAGCAGCCAGCGCTCTTAACCCCTGAGTCTTCTCTCCAGCCCTGATTTTAATTTTTTAGATTGTATGAACGATTTGCCTGCATGCATATCTGTGTGTCTTATGCATGCAGTGCCCATGGAGGCCAGAAGGGGGCAACAGAGCCCCTGGGACTAGAGCTACACACAGTTGTGGGCTGCCCTGAGGTAGCCAGGGATTGGACCCAGGTCCCCTGGAAGCACAGCCTGTGCTCTTAACCGTGGAACCATCTCTCCCATCCTGTCAACACCATAATTAAAAAAAACAAACAAACAAACTCACCGGGCGGTGGTGGCGCACACCTTTAATCCCAGCATTCGGGAGGCAGAGGCAGGTGGATCTCTGTGAGTTCGAGGCTGGGCTGGACCGACAGCCTCCAAAACAATACAGAGAAACCCTGTCTCGTAAAACCAAAAAAAAAAAAACCTCTATGGGAGTCCTCTCTCCAAGACAGTCATATCCACCATCATACGTATTGTGTTTTAGGGGAGGTTCACACACACACACACACACACACACACACACACAAACGGTTTCCTCTCACTGGGCTCAAAGCATAGCTTTCTTGGTGGGCCTGGCATAGAGTCTACATTAGTCATGGACTACCTCTAACTTCTTTTTTTAATAACTTGAATCCACAAGGCTATTTTGGCACACACTGGAATTGACCATGAACAAAGCCACAGGGCCAGTGTCTACGACTCTGAAACCAATTAGATAAAAGTTTGGCTTGGCATTCTGTACTCAATGGCATTGCCATGGCAGCGAGCCAAAGACACTGACTAAAACAGCACCTGCCTCTAGATCCTTCTTCCAAACCTCACCGGAGGCTGCTGCCAGAGAAACAGAGGCAAATGGCCAACAGCAAGGGCCTGTGTGTGCACATAATGGGTGTGCGTGTCAGTGCGGAAGAGGTGTGTTGACGTGCGTACTTCTGCATGCGTGTGTCTCTGTGTGTCTGTATGTGTCTGTGTGTCTGGGTCTCTGAGTGTGTGTGTGGGGGTGTGTCTGAGTGAGTATGTGTATGTGTCTGTATTTATGTTTGTTGGTGTGTATCTGTATGTGTGTCTGCGTGTGTGTCTCTGTGTCTCCTCATGTGTCTGGGTCTCTTCATGACTCTGTGTGTGTGTGTGTGTGTGTGAATGTGTGTGTGTGAAAATATAAAGTGTCCTGGAACTTGTATGAAAATGCAAACAAATGAGGGAAGAATTTTCCCTGCCCAGCTGTGTTGCCTTAAACTTAATGTCACTTTGTACACGTGGCATCTAGGGATCTCTTAGAGACGGGCACTAGTGATTCATTAGCAGATTCAGGCAGCTGAGTCCGATGACTCGGGCCCCTCTTTTCCTCACTTTGGAGGACAGAAATCATGGTGGCTCTAGAATGACCCAGAGCACCTCCAGGGTGGCAGAGTCGCAGAAGCATCTGAGGCTCTCGTGGGCTGTCTGAAACCAGAAAGCCAGGAAGCTGCACTGGTTTTTCTTTTAGATTCATTTTATGTGTATAAGTGTTTTGCCTGCCTGTCTGTGTACTATGTGCATGCCTAGTGTCTGTCCTCAGGGGTCAGAAGTGGGCGGGCGTCTGAGGATTATGGATATCTGTGAGTGCTGGGAGTTGAACTCGGTTCATCTACAAAGAGTGCTCTTAACCACTGAGTCACCTCTCCTGCCCTGGCTGGCTGCACCTCAAGCAAAAGAGGGTGTGTGATGGCTTCATTCTAGAATACAAGGTGCTTTGCTGAAAAGTTCAACTCTCCTCATTGCACTCAATCTAGGGAGAATCTCTAACAGATAAACAGACATCCATTACCAAAGTAACACAAGGGGATGCCCTGACGGAAGGCTTGGCCAAGCCTCACCAAGCTGGAGTGTAGCCAAAGGTGGCTGTTCACAAACTCACTCTGCAGGGCTTCAGAGGGCATCAGGGGCTTGGGCGGAGACTGGACTTCTCCTGGTTAGAGGCAGGCACACCGATGCTGGAAGCATTTGTTCAGACAGCGTTCACTTGGTGAACAGCCCTAAGTGTGATTTGCTGTCTTACACAAGTATTCACGCCCAGCCTGACCAGCGAGGACTAGTTAACTGCAGCCTTCCATTTCCCCCTGAGGAGGTTACCGTCAGGGGAGTAAGGACCAGGGGAGCTGGGTATGGACCAGACAGACATGCGTCACAGCTGATACATAAACGGACAGACATTCAAAGAGCTGGTGCCGCAGACCAGACAAATGTGATGGAGGATGCCTTGCTTACGTCACTCAACTGGGTCCCCCAACAGCCCAAGAGCAGGTGCCACCGTGTACACGGTACAAGATGATGAAACAGACTGAACTTCTCTGAGGTCGCTGAGGGGAGCACAGCTGGGCCCACCTGTGTCAACAGGCGACACCAGCCGTGCCACTCAGCCTCACAGTGGGGAGCGGGGAGTAGCCGTGTACAGAGGATAAGCTGTAGGCTGGGACACAGCGCCATGGTCACACTTCTCTGACATGCGCAGGGCCTAGGCTCAACCACCGGCACTTTAAAAATGTTTTGAATAAAACAAAACTAGCCAAAGGGACTTCGAAGGCAGGTCCCCCAGGAGCGGAGGGTGGCAGGCAGAAGATGGAAGTTCCCACCCTCCGGCTGGGGAAGGGGGGCGGCGATGGAGTCTGGAGACAGCAGACACAGGCACCTGCCCCACCCAGGAGCCCTAGGAAGGACTGTGAAGAAAGTGGTCTGGGGCTTGGCAGGGACCCAGAGTGGGATCCTGTGGGTGAAATCTGAATTACCTACTTCTCGGTTTTCACCCTTCCACTGACAAATTCTTCTAATGCCTCGGTGTACAGCTCTGTGGCTTACTTGTTTGCTTTGGGCAACGTATTATTTTTTCACATTTATTTTGTGTGTGTGTCTGTGTGTGAGAGAGTCTGTGCGTGTGTGTGTATGTGTGTGAGTATATGTGAATGTGTATGTGTGTGGTGTATGTGTGTGTATGTGTGTAAGTGTATGTGAGTGTGTGCATGTGTGTGAGAGTCTGTGTGTATGTGTGTGAGTGTGTGTATGTGTGATAGTCTGTGTGAGTGTGTATGTGAGTGAGTGTATGTGAGTATGTGTGAGAGTGTGTATCTGTGTGTGAATGTGTGCATGTGTGTGAGTCAGTGTGTGTCTGTGTGTGTGAATGTATATGAGTGTGTGTGTATGTGTGTGTGCGTGTGTGAGTGTGCATTGTGTGAGTGTGTGTCTGTGTGTGTGAGTGTATATGAGTGTGTGTGTATGCACATACATATGGAAGTCAGAGGACAACTTGGAGGAATCGGTTCTCTTCTTCCACCGTGCGGGTCCCAGGGACCTCAGGTCATCAAGCTTGACTGCACTTGACTGCAAGCCCCTCTGCCTGCTGAGCCATCCCACTGGTCCCGTTCTCGTTACTCTAACTCACATGCCACACAGGGTCACTTGGTGTCTTCCTGTCTTCAGCTGGGAACTTCTCCGTGGACTTTCTGCGCTCTGGTACTTGAGGAATCGGAGGGCAGGGGATGCTTGAAGCTGCTGGCCAGGGGCCAAGGGGTTCTCCACCTCCGTTTCTCTGGGTGGGGCATCTGTCTGCTCATGCCTACTTGGGACCAGGTAGTCCATCTTGGGGAGGAAAGAACATGGGGAGAGATGGGTTACAGATTAGAACTGGGGGTGGTAAGTAGTGATCATTAAGATATACGCTCCTTTTTTAAATGTGTCACTTTAGAAACGCATACCTTATCACCAAGAACTTCTGCTGGGGTCCCCTTCATGCTTGCTGGATGAGTCCCATCTCCATCCCTGTCCCTCCCCACCCCTGTGATGATGAGGGAAGCAGCAGATGAAGATGGATGGGGCGGTTTGGGCCGCGTCCTGTTTTTAAGTTGGACTTGATAATTTCTTTTGAGACAGAGTCCTCGGGTAGCCCAGGCTGGCCTCAAACTTGCTGGCTACCTAGGGATGACTCTGAACTTTACATTTTTTTCCTGCCTCTACTTCTCAAGGGCTAAGGTCACAGCTACGTGCCACCGCGCCTTGTGTATGTGATGCTCGGGTTTGAGCCCAGGGTTTCCCGAATGCTAGGCAAGCACTCTATGAACTCAGCTATGTCTCCAATCCCAGACTTAAGACTTCACTGCAACTCAGACAGACCTTCTGCCCCTGGCCACCACCCCCATACGCTCCCAATTTGAATCACAGTTGAGTGAGATATTGCATCCAGGGGATAGTGCACCTCCCACCCCAGGTCCCCTCTGCACTCCCCAAATCAATGTCCAAGCAGGACGAGATGCCTTTGGTGCCATGTCTGGACCCACAGGACACTGACCAGGCTTCCAGCCCCGTGCTCGGGGCGCACATCTGCAAAGCGGCCGTCTCTCTCCAGCAGTCTGCCCGGGTGGCACCAAACAGAGAAAAGCAAACACAGAAGAAGCTGTCAGGCTCAGCACCCCTTGAGTACACAGAGGCTTCAGTCACAGGCCCCTCCATGTCTTCAGGCTGGACGCCCATGGCTGGGACGTCCTGCAGGAGGCCATGGGGACGGGACAGCTCTCACGAAGGGTGGTTATGCTGGACAAAAGCGCCATGGGTTTTGGAGGTGGCTCTTACCAATGTATTCAAAGTAAAGTTTGGCGTAGAAACGCTCCTGCTTCCAGAGAGCCTGCAGCTGAAGGAGCACGCTGTGCTAGAGGGGAGTCTCCCGGTACAGTGCTCTCTGATGCATGGTTGACTGTTCTCTAGTTTCTGCTCTGCAGTGAGTGGCGAGGGCGGGCTGCCCCCACGAAGATGCTTGGTTACAGGTGCCCTGCGTACACTTCTCATCACGAAGGTGCACCTGGCACTCAGTGCACCTCACTTGTGTGCTGAGCACGGATACTTAGAACATTGTGTGTGCGCGCGTGTGTGCGTGTGTGTGCAAGTATGAGTGTGTTCATGTGTGCATGTATAAGTGTGCACGCACACACGCACGCATGCGGAGCACACATGTGTGTGCACGTTTGCATGGTAGGGTATTTCCTTAACATCTTCGGCTAGCCCCAAACCAGGAGACCTTAAATGAACCTTGGCTCTGTCCCAGGTTAACATAAAGACGTCATTGTGTAGTCTCCATCCCTCTGTTAACAGTCAACCTGGGGGCTCTTATGGGGTTCTCACAGCAGTTAGTGAGAATATAGGGTGACTGTATTGGAACTGTCTATTATTGTTTGAGACAAGTCTCATTATATAACCCTGGCTGGCCTATACTAGCTATGTACATCAAGCTGGCCTCAAACTCACAGAGATCCTGCCCGCTTCTGCCTCTAGAGTGCTGGGACTAAAGGTGTGTGTGGCACACTGCCAGGCCCTGGGGCTGCTTTTTGAGGTCGCAGGCTCCAGGACCAGTGAGTAACCACGCTGTGTTACCCGAGTGAAGAGAGGGGCCACAGAAAAGGTGCTTCCCATGCTATTCCTGGGGTGCCCAGAACATCTGAGGCAAAGCAGGGGGCCACCCATGCCCAAGGGACTCAGCTGAGTTTACAGCACAGCTGGGGGTCACCAGGGAGCAATCTGGGCTGGATTCTGCAGAGCTAGGGCAGGACAGGTGAGGTTTGTCTTTGTAGGCAGGATACCGCAAACAGTCTTTTATCGGGTTGGAACAGCTGTTTGACAAACTGCTTTCCTTGGAGAAGCCCGGCCTGTGGGAGGATGCTCGCTAATTAGGACCCTGGGTGGCTCCTTTGAGACACTGGGGGAGCTCCAACAGCTGGAGAATGCAGCTCAAGGAAGGAACTGGAGTCCCAGGGTTGCAGGCTCTGTGTGAGCCAGGGGCTCCCTCCCAAGGCCTCCTGGAGAGGTGTGGCTGAAGCCAGTCTCCGAGGGTGGCCGTCTCCCATTTCCGGAAGGAGGAGAGCACAACCATGAGCAGGAAGGCCAGCGAGTGGCTGACTTGATGCAGACCTAGGGACAGAGTCAACCCTGTGCAAAACGAGCTGTGACTGCCACAGGCAGCAACGCCTAGAAGGTTTTCCCTCAGCGGGAGTCACCTCCATTTTCAGGAATCACCCATCTTTATGTCCCTACGTGCTCAGCATAGGCGCACGCCTTTAATCCCAGCACTTGGGAGGCAGAGGCAGGCGGATCTCCCCGTTTGTGGTCAGCCTGGTCTACAGGACGAGTTCCAGCACATCCAGAACTATGCAGAGAAACCCTGTCTCAAAAAAAAAAAAAAAAAAAAAAGGAAAGAAACTGTGTTGCCAATTTCAGATAAAAGGAAGAAAATACAGGATTTAAAAAAAAAAACTTCTGTCTTTTTAACCTAAAACTTGAAGCTTTTGCTATTTACTAAGGTAATAAAAGTAATTTACATTTCCAGGTAAATCAAATGCTGCAAAAAGCCCATACATACAGCTCAATGCCTTCCAAGGGGTCTTTCACCCACGGCTCAGGGAGTATGAAGTTATTTGGATGTCATTCCCGAAGTGGCCACCTGCTCTTGCCCTCGGGCCCTTGGATGCGGCAAACGGGCACCAAGGATTTGACTCTAGCTCCTGGACGGGCTGTGTTTCTATAATTGTGTGGATTGACTTAAACCCAGACAGAGAGAATCTTCGGCAGGCACTGAAAGAGATCCCAAGGGAAAGGACAGCAGCGGGCAGGGGTGCGACCCATTCCAAGTGATGCTGGCTCTGGGGCTCACAGGGAAGGAGCTTTGGAGGTGGCCCTTGTAGAATTCTCAGCCCAGACAGGCACCCCTTGCCATTTCCCCCATTCCAGCTGATTAAAGGAGGCCAGGGAACAACTTACTCCCTCAATTGCAACAACAAAGGCTTGCCCTCTCTATTCAATCAAAACAACTGGGCTGCCCCATTCAGATGCTAATAGCGGGGGGCCAGAATTGGTCCCTAAATGAGGGAAACACTCCCCCAACACCACCCACCGCCCCGCAAATGAGCAGCAAGCAGCTTCTCCGCCACCAGAACTCTCCCAGGTGTATGTTCTGTTAAATGTTTCATGGTGGGAAACACCCTGGAGGAGGGAGAGTAGATTTCCCAGAGGTCCGGGGAAGCAGGGGAGGGGGGAAGGGGGATGCCTGCATCCACACAGGCCTCTAACAGAAAAGAACTTGGTCTCCCGTAGAACTACCTCCCCTGTTGTTGCGAACTCAGGGCATTTTGACAGGTTGGATGCACCTTTTGAGTACTTTGAGGAAGACCACTGCCTCAGTTCATCCGAGTTTCTGGAGGGCCTCTCCTCTATGGTTGGTTTCTGAGTTCTCTAGGACCCAGAGAGTCCTGTGCCCTGTGCCCATCTGTCCTGGACACCTGCACAGCCTCCTGCTTGTTTGTTTCACCTGCCTTGAGCTCGCAGTGTAGGCCAGAGTCAGATGGCCAAGTTCAGCTCCTAGGTGGCAACCTCAGGCCGGACCCTAGACCCATACACTGGGGGTCACTGTGTCCTTGGTCAGTTTGAGGGCAGTGCGCACATCTCCACACTGTTTCAGAAAAATACGTACAACACATGCAGAGGCTGTCTTTGCTGTCATTATGGCGGTACAAACACACACACACACACACACACACACACTTGCTGTCCTTACAGTGATACACACACACATTTGCTATCCTTACAGTGGTACACACGTACACACATACACACACACACACACACTTGCTGTCCTTACAGTGGTAAACACACACACACACATTTGCTATCCTTACAGTGGTACACATGTATACACACACACACACACACACACACACACACACCTGCCTTGTCTATCACTTGCAAACTATGTCCATGTTGACCTCACACACACACCTCCCCACTTAGCAGCGAGGTCACAAGGGAATGGCCCGCCCCACCCAGCGGCCACAGTGGTGCACAGGGAAGTCCTCTATCATCCTACTCATTGCTGGAGGGAGTACTAGATTCAAGCTCACATCAAGGAGCTTCAGCGACCCGGGTCCTGGGCATGTGACAAATCCCTGACCTCCATTCCATATTCCCTCCCAGCCTCATGGGGCGGCAGTGCCTTAATCCCTCCGCATCTTATACTATGCCAGGGTCTCCCTCATGATTAGTGTGTATTCTTCTCTTTCTAGGAGGCAGCTTGAAGGCTGTTTGTAGTGACAATTCCTCAGTGTCTATGTGAAGAGAAAAACGAAGGTGACTGGGAGGGGACATCAGATGTAGAAGTTGACACCAAGGGTTGGACCTAGCTCAGCGGGCCTAGTTTAGCAGGGTGGTGGGGGGTGGCAGGAAGGAAAGAAGGAAGGGATAGAGGAAGGGAGGGAAGGAGGAAGGGAGGGAAGGAGGGAGGAAGGGGAGGGGAAGGAAAGGGAGGAGAGGGAAGGGAAAAATAAAACCCAGTCATTGGGAAGATAAGGCAAAGTGATTTTGAGTTTGCACTACAGAGTGAACCCCCCAAGGCCTTGTCTGGGGGTGGGGGGATCTTACCTTCTGGAGAATTCCATGTTAGCAAGGGAGGTAGAATACATCTGATACAAACGACTAAGATACACGTTGCTCCGGGAGGCCGTCTTTGTCTTACCCGTAATCTTGCTCTGTAAGACGCATCTCAGGGTGAGCGCAGGCATCTCTTACGCGCATTGTAGCCATCCACCTTGCATCTAGCCAGCATTTGAATTTCTCAGGCGCGGGGGGACGCAGACCCCCTTTCGTACCGCCTCTGGTACAGACTGGCAAGCAGGCCATATGCAGCAGCTGGCCACTGTCTCTGTTCGCCGTGATGGTTTAAGCGGTAGCACCTACTCTCTCATTTCAGGTTATGGTGCCCATGGTGTGTGGCCCCTCTGCCCTTGCCTCCCTCAGCTCCACGTCCCTGTAGGTGTGACGTCAGCACTTAGGCTGCTCTGCCCTCCTCTCAAAGGACAGCACCAAGAGCCTGCGCCAGCCTGACGCTGGAAAGAACAAACGCCATTTTTAATAACAGCTAAAAAGCAGTATCCAGTGTGCTGTGTAGGCTAGTATTTTAAAAACCCAAACATACTGTTATGGGCTACACCACTCTTTAAAACCTGTGGGGAAGGGGCTGGAGAGATGGCTCAGAGGTTAAGAACACTGGCTGTTCTTCCAGAGGTCCTAAGTTCAATTCCCAGCAACCATAGTGTGGCTCACAACCATCTACTATTCAGTCTGGTGCCCTCTTCTGGCATGTAGACAGAACACTGTACATGTAATAAATAAATCTTTTTTTTTTAAAGTGCAGGGAAATACCTATATTTTTTTTTTGGTTTTACGAGACAGGGTTTCTCTGTTTTGGAGGCTGTCGGTCCAGCCTGGCCTCGAACTCACAGAGATCCACCTGCCTCTGCCTCCCGAGTGCTGGGATTAAAGGCGTGCGCCACCAACGCCCGGCTCCTATATTTATAAAAATAGTTACTTTTTTTTTTCTTCAGTGCTAGGAGTCAAACCCAAGGCTTCAGGCACACTAAGCAACACTGGGATACATCCCATGTTAATTGTTTAAAAAAACAATTAACAGCGGCCAGGAGGTGGTGGCGCACGCCTTTAATCCCAGCACTTCGGATGGCAAGAGGCAGGCGATCTCAAGCGACTTCCAGGACGGCCTCCAACGCCACAGAGAAACCCTATCTCAAAAAACCAAAAAATAAAATAAAATTAACAGCAACAAAAACTATATACAATCACATCACAAAGCATAGACTGCTAGGTGGGAGGGTGACCCAAAACCAGGAAAAGAGACCTAGAAACGTGAAAATCGGAGGCTGAGGAGGAAGTGGGGGATGCCTAACTGGAGGGAATAAGCCAGCCCCCGGTCCAGAAACAGCAAACATCCACACACATGCTGTCGTTCCTCACCAAGACTTGGACCCTTTGCTAGGGATAAAGTTGTTCCAATGGGACAGAGGTCACCCAAAGACGGCTAAGTCCCACGCACTTACCTCCCGCTGTCCTCCAGGCAGTTCCGGGGCCACTCCACGCTGCTGGCACCGTTTCCTCCACTCCGTAAGTCGAGAGAGGAGGCTCTTGGAAGAAAACAAAAGAGGTCTTCTTGCAAACATCCTCCACTGGGCCCTTTCCTCCAAGCCTGGAAGCCATCTGTGCCCTGGGCCCTCCACCTCTGTCATCTCTGTAGGACTCCAGGCTTGTGCCCACCGTCCGGGCATGCCAGCCTCACTTGGCCAAAGGCCTTGGTGTCAGCTGCTCCTGCTTGGAACACGGTGTCGGTCACCTCACTCAGTGACCGCAGGCAAGTGAGATGGACGGACCCCGTCCCACAGGCTGGAGGACAGCGGTCAGGACCGCCAGAAGGAGAGTAGGATGATGGGGAATGGTGGAGGGCAGAACATCTTCGGCTCTGTGGGGCCCACACCAAGGCGCACATGAACACCGCTGGCACAGCTGGGCAGTGGGGCGCACGCCTTGAATCCCAGCGCTCCAGAGGCAGACGCAGGCAGATCTCTGTTAGTTCGAGGCCAGCCTGGTCTACAAAGCTACACAGAGAAACCCTGTCTCAAAAAATAAATAAAAGAAAAGAATGCTTTTGGGGGGCTGGAGAAATGGCTCAGCGGTTAAGAGCACTGACTGCTCTTCCAGAGGTCCTGAGTTCAATTCCCAGCACTCACGTGGCAGCTCACAACTGTCTGTAACTCTAGTTCCAGGGGGATCTGATACCCTCACACAGACATACACACAGGCAAAATACCAACAGTCATGAAATAAAACAAATAAATTATATAAAAAACAAAAATCTGGGGCTGGAGAGATGGCTCAGAGGTTAAGAGCACTGACTGCTCTTCCAGAGGACCTGAGTTCAATTCCCAGCAACCACATGGTAGCTCACAACCATCTACAATTAAATCTGGTGCCTTCTTCTGACATATAGGCAGAACACTGTATATGTAATAAATAAATCTAAAACAAAACAAAACCCTGCCGGCACACCGAGGCAGGATCTGGGAATGAAAGCACAGGAAAACTTTAAGCCACAGGAACAGAGCCCAACTTCACACAAATGTGGCGAGCTGAGGGCAATGGACTATTATTCCTCAAGATCCACACCTTTCAAAGCTCACCCAAGATGGGAAAGACGGGCTTGGCAGTCGTAAATAATGAAACTGAAATGTGGAAACATCCAACCCAGGTTGTTATCAGTGGTGCAAATCTCAGCGGCATGGGTCAGTGGGGTGCCTCAGTGACACACATCTGTAGTCCCAGCACTCCTCGGGAAAATGGGAGGCGGGGAGACAGGAAGACAGAAGCTGTGAGCCAGGTAGCTTGGAGTATACAGCACAGCGTCAGAAAGACACAAAGGAGAACCAGCTTCAAGGGCGAGAAGCAACTCCTGGCAGTGGTCCTCTCGCCTCTGCAGACATTCCGCAGCACAGCACAAGTGAACACGTGTTTACACACACACACACACACACACACACACACACACACACACACACACACACAGACTGATGCACAAATAACTTTTAAAAGATTCTGCCAATAAGCACTGAGGTGAACTCAAGAAATCCAGTGACAGAGAGGGAGGACTGATGAGCAAAGGGGTTAAGACTGGGCTGGTTTAACCCCCAGAAACAGCTGACCTGACAAGAGCTAGCTCTTGAATCCCAGGCTGATGCCTGGGAATCCAGCATGGGACTGATCAAGACCCCCTGAATGTGGGTGTCAGTGAGGAGGCCTAGGCAATCTATTGAGCCTTGGGTAGTAGATCAGTATTTATCCCGGGTATACAAATGGACTTTGGACTCCTATTCAACAATGAGAGATGCACTCTCACCCTGGACTCTTGGGGGAGGGTCTAGGCCCTGCCCTGGATGAAATGACAGACTATGGACACCCCCATGGAGGACCTCACCCTCCCTGGGGAAATGAGGGGATATTGGGGAGGTTGGTGGGAGGATGCAGGAGGAGGGGAGGGAAAGGGAGAGGGATATGGAATTGACATGTGAAGCAACCTTGTTTCTAATTTAAATTTAAATAATAAAAAAAAAGATTCTGCCAAGTCTTTATAACCATAGACCAATGTACTCTCACTAACATCTGTATGGGAAAGTGAAAGCCAGGAGAGGGGCAAGGTTGGAAAAGAACAAAAAGGACATGCATCCCCCCTCCCAACGGAAAGGCTTCCTTGAATGAAGACTGCAGCACAGACACAGGTGTAAATCAGCGGGTTGCACCCACATGACGCACCAAGGTGACAGCAAAGGCACAAAGGGCAATGTCTTTTCTCACTTGCTGTGCTTGAGCAAAGGAGCAACCATGGACAAAAGCGAGCGCACACCCCAACGGTTAAAACAACCAAAACCAAAAAACCTCAGCAAGCAAACTAGAAGCCTGCCCAGATGTGAGCAACATCCACAGGCCATGGTTAGCCATAATAGCTCCTGCCGCCACGCCCTCCCCAGCATAGTGAACTCTACCCTTATTTTTTTTTGTTTTTGGTTTTGTTTTTGTGTTTGTTTTTTTGTTTTTTCAAGACAGGGTTTCTCTGTGGCTTTGGAGGCTGTCCTAGAACTTGCTCTGTAGACCAGGCTGGCCTCGAACTCACAGAGGTCCACCTGCCTCTGCCTCCCCACTGCTGGGATTAAAGGTGTGCGCCATCCATGCCCGGTGGACTCTATCCTTATACCATGAGCTAAAGTAAGTGACACACACCGTGGGTATCAGCAATGGGATTGGAGACAGACTATGTTGGGGATGGAGAGAGGGTAACATAAGGGAAGTCCCAAGCTTTGGGCTTGCAGATCATTCCCTTTATGCTTCTGGATTTAGTTCTCACAGCTCTCTGTCCCTTGACCTTATCTGGCACAGGGTTAGACAGACAATGAGGGGCTCGGTGGCCTTCTAATGCTGCCTAGCCTGTCAGGTACATCAGAGGTCACGGGTCACAGGTCAGGCACACCTCACAGGTCTTTGACATCAGCAGCTTCCCTAGAAGTCAGGTTTGTTGTTTTGTTAGGCTCTCTCTCTCCCTTCCTCTCTCCTCTTCTCCCCCCTCTCTCCCTCTCTCTCTCCTCTCCTCTCTCTCTCTCTCCTATCTTTATCTCTTCTGTCTGTCTGTCTGTCTGTCTGTCTATCTATTTATCTATCTATCTATCTATCTATCTATCTATCTCCCCACCCCTTCTCTTCTTGGACATTTTACGGTAAGCTGTCAAAAAGTGACAGAAAACTAAACTGGAATTCTTTTATAAACAGAAAGCAAAAAACAAACAAACAAAAAAAAAAAAACCTGCCACCAGCCAAGAGTGGTAAGAAAAGATGTCAACCAGAGACTAAAACCCAGCTATGAGATTGAGAGAAGAAATGCGATCTCACAGTTTCAGTTTATTTCATTATACTGCTCCCTCTGAGTTCAAGGGAAGGGGCCGCATACAGAAAAACATACAGGAAGAAAGCCTAGAGATACCGTCAGCGCTTTATACTTTGAGTGCAGAGTGCTCTCTGCAAGAATGTGGTACAATTCACATTTGCGTGGATGTCCCTAGTGCCCTGCTCTAGAACCTCCAGCCAACTGTTCCCATATGCTCAGCGGGGCTCCTGTGGCAGGAACAGCCCGCCATCCAGAGCCGCCTTAAACACTGAGGACACAGACCTTGGGGACGGAGGAAATGCATCCTTCCTTGTAAAGTTAGCTGGCAGCTGCTCCCAGCATAATACCTGGGATGCCCAGTGGAGAGGAAAAGGAAATGTCAAAGTCATGCTTCTCCCAAACTTCAAAGGTTGCCCCTCCCCCTCTTTACATTTTACTGTCTGGGGGAGCTTAGCTTGTCTGCAGCTGTTGGCAGAGCCGGTGTCCCTGTGTCAACCCTGCCTCCTCCCGGGGTCACAAAACTACAGCAGGGAGGCGGATACCGGTGTGGGAGGGAAGGAGTGTCCCGGTGATGTCCCTGACCTGACACCTCCGGGAGCTGCTCAAGGGCTCATTTCATGAGCCACACGATTTTCTTCCTTTTTATTTTAAATGAAGAAATCAGTCTGTTGACCATGTCACCAGGGTTCTGATTCTCACCCAGACACTTCACTCGGTCAGAACAAACACACTTAGGATCATCTGACTCCCATCCCACACCCTCACGCCCCTGCTCTGTAGACCAGGCTGGCCTCGAACCCAGAGATCCACCTGTCTCTGCTTCATGAGTGCTGGGACCAGAGGTGTGTGTCACCATGCCTGGTGGATCATCTGAATTCCTAAGGTCCGTGGTTTCTAACTGAAGGGAGCCACGAGGCCGGTTTCCCTTGGGGACAAGCCATGTTTCAGCAAAAAACAAAATGGAAGACACATCCATTTGACACTAACACTGTAATCACCTGCTTAAGCTGAGAAGCCCACACTACAGCCTTTCCTCATTTGGGGACAACTGGCCACTGGAACTTTGAGAATGCTTCCTCTGTATATTTTACATTAGCTTGGAGCACACTAGGTGTGACTGGGAAATCACAACATTTTTGTGACATCAAGCCTCTATTCATTTATGACATTCATTTGTGGCATCAAGCCTCTATTCATTTATGCAAATGCAGAGAATCTAAAAGGAAAGAAAACCAAACAGGAAGCAACTTATTTGGGGGTGGCTCCTGGTTTTGTTATTGTTTCTGGGTTTTGTTTTGACTGTAGATTTGCTTATTTTAATGTGAGTACTCTATCTGCGAGTACGCCTCCACACCAGAAGAGGGCATCAGATCCCACTACGGATGGGCGTGAGCTACCATATGGTTGCTGGGAATTGAACTCAGGACCTCTGGGAGAGCAGCCAGTGCTCTTAGCCGGTGAGCCGTCTCTCCAGTCCATGTTCTTCCTGGTTTTATTGATCATGTAGTCACTGAATATAAACAACAAAAAAACACAGTTCCCTGAGACCAGATGATGCAGGATCTGGCTGAAAACAACATGCACAGTCCTTGAAAGGCACAGTCCCATTGGGCTTCTGTCTTTTGAGGTCACGTGTACTGGGAAGGACTCTGGTGCATCTCAGAGCCCTGGGATCCAGGAGGGACCAGCACGGAGGTGTGC